ACCATTTGCTGGGCCAGGGCTTTGATGTGTTCAGGTATTACAGATGTGCATGTGGTTCTGCAAGAAAGGAAATTGATTAGTCTTGTTTTAATTTCTCATTGAAATGTTTTAAGTCAAGATTTCTTTTTTGGGTTGTTGACCAATATTATATTTGAGGAGAATGTGAAGTTAATTTGTACTGTTTTTGCTTTTTGAAGTTGAGAAAAGTTAAATGAATCTGAAAAAAAAAAAAAAGATAAACAACAGTAAAACAAAAACATGTTGATCTTCCTTTAAATATTGTAGTTAATATTGGCTTGCATAGGGACCATACTGTGTTATTGGCTCTGCAGACCTCAAAATATAAGAAAGGAAGCCTACTGATAAAACTTATAATTTATGAAACCAGACACCATAAGACATCAGAATCCAAAAGAAATTTTAGGTTTTTGTGATTAATGATGTTATTCACAGTTTTATTTTGAACACTTTTCAAATAGTGTTATCGAAGGACATATTTATTTTTGATATATATTTTTTATAAGAGTGATCATTTTAAAAATATATATAAAACCAAAAAGTAAAACTGTGTTCCACTTATGGTGTAAACACTGAAAGTGCACGGCATCGGCGACGACAGACGCAGGTGACGGCAATATGTACAGACACATCTGTGTCTGTACATAATAAAAGCTTGATACATTAAATATATTTTATTTCTTACATTAAGTCAAGTGCACACGAAGTATATGTGAGGCATTTTAATTGGACAATAACAGGTTATGTGACCCATGAACCCTAAACTCTTTTAAAGTCTTTAAAGATAATCTTAAACTTGAAATGCATAATAATTATATTTAGAAGCATTTTTTAAACTGAGAAACATTTCTTATGAATGAATAATTTTGAGGTCATTATAATTGATTATACTTAAAAAGAATAAATTTGGTAAGATTTTCTCTGAAATGTCCCAATATTATTTAAAGATAATCATAGCAGATGAGGACTTTTATTATAGACAACTAGTAGCAAGTTTGAAGATGAAATAAATTACCATGGAAAAACATGTTTACCTTTGATGTTATTCACCAAACTTTTGCTGGTATGTATTCATAAAATGTTATTATTAGCCTTGTTTTACATTTTACTTAGCAATGGACAAAAGATCCTTCTGACACATGCCTTTTGTTATGCCTACTTGATTTTTATATGAAAATTTTTCAAATTGATTTTTATATAAATAAAGTTGAATATTCAAATTTTAATATTTTGATTTGACTGTTATAATATCTTCACAGTCATAGCAGAATTTTGGTGTTGATGCTGAAAGCGAAAACTCAAATCCTTCCAAGACACTATTTGTTTTAATTTTTTGGTAACTACAATTTTTCTTACCTAATTTTTTTTGTCTAATTTTAACTTATATAGAAGAATAACCATATAAAAAAATGGACCTTTCAATTTTTTTTTACTTTTTGAAGTATTTTCATTAGAAGAGTCAAATGTCCTTCTGTGACGTCAAAAAATACCACGGAATGGCCCATAATCTTTGTTGAATTCTGTGAAAACTGATCTAAATTTTGTCATGGCTATGCATGCCAAGAAATTTAGTTAAATAGCTTAACAAAACACGACTTTATAAAAATTACATAATTATACATAAAAAGATATCAAAAATATCTGAGAAGGACAAATTGATGTTAATTAATCTGTTGTTGCCTAGTTAATGAAATTTGTATTAAATACAGTTGGCCAAATGTGGGAAATAACTTATATTTAATACCTTAAAGATTTAATTATTTAAAGTAATCAATATTTTGAAAACTACATAAAAATAAACATGTCTTTTCCAAACACTAGTTCATGTTTTTTCTTATAAAAGTGTTTATTTAATGAGAATTGATCATGAAAACCTAGAAGTGCTTTTGGATTGTGTTGTCTACTGCTATCCGTTTAAAAAAATTGTAGTTTTATAAGTGGGATTTTTTTGAAAAATTCTGGGGTCTGTGGAGTAAAAACACAGAAATGGCTTTTTATGTCGTTTTGTTAACAAAAATTGTCTAAATCAGGAATAAAAATTATAGTTACACATGTTTATGACAAATGAAATGTACATAACACAAAAGTTGTGAATGGCTATGTAAACGTACTCTCAAGTTTCAAACCATTATTATTTTTGAGCTAGATAGTTTTCACGTTAAAGGTGTTTTCCAATGGAAAGATGTAAAATTTTAAGACAACTGAACTGATAAGCGCATGGCACCCTATCAATGGGATTTTTTTTTATTTGTTAAGCATAGCGATTTTCATTTTACGTCTATAAATAGTAAAGGAAGTCCGATGACATTTCACTTAACCGCGGAGCTAAGGCCCGGTTGCAGTGCTTTAAAGATAATTCTTTAAAGAAAGTCGGTGAAATACAGATATATAAAAGGAGCATTTTTATTGTAGTTTTTTAAGTAATTGGATAGTATTTATTATATACTAGTCACAATCGGCCTCGCGCGGACCTCTGAGAACACCTATTTACGCGTTTCGTGAACAAGTATGGCATGGCTTCAGCCTACCGTAGGAGGAAACGCTATAAAATAGAAAAATGGAAAATCTTCATTTGGGTTATTTACATAGGTGCTTTTAAGTACATTTTAACGGGCATTTGTTGCAATATTGCACCTTTAGCCTTGCTGTATGTCTCAAAATGAGCGAGAACAACCTTGTCATTGCGGGAATTACGCACAGACCGGTGTACCTAATTACCGTCGACAACCGAGCACAACCGAACACTACTGTCCACAAGCATTAATTACCGTCCACAAGCACAGGATTATCAAGTGTGGTTTAAGGAAAATACTGTCTTTTTTTTCTTTGTTGCAAACATGTAATTTTTGTACCTGTAGCACATAAAAGAAATGGAATTTTTTTTATATATATCCAGCAAGTGTTAAATGTAGAGAATGAGAAAATTCGTGTTTAGTACTTTTAGAAAAAATCGCCTGGATTAGAATTTACTCCTTACAGAAAACAAAATATTTTGATTACAAATTTAATGTACATACACGGTTGATTATCATCCTATGAAATTTATGTATGTGTACGTTTTCATGAGTCTTTGTCAACAAATTTTGGTACCAGTTTACAGGGATCTAGTATTTATCACTGGCTAATACATCTGGTAACTACTACGGTAGGCTAATTTTAAGAAATTCTTGTCAGTAAGACATTAATACTAATTTATTTGTTTATACTGAATGGCAAGTTCCTAGCACATTGTCTACTACTACTGGAGATTATGTATATACTTATGAGAGTTTTTATGCGCAAGAACTGGTATGAACAAACAACGGGCTCTTTTATCAAGACTATTTAATACTGGAAGGACCTGTTATAAACATTAATTGTAGCAAAGCAATGTTTCCGCGTCGGGATTTGAATCTAGTCATGTTGGAGTAATCAACCACCAAGTTTTACTATTTTTGCATCAGATGAAAGTAGAAACGGTATGTCTTAAAATTGAGTAAAATTGAAGATGTTACGAAACCGATCAATGTCGCTGATGGAAAGTGTTTCTGTAAAAAAGTTGCTGCGAAAATTAGACGTGGTCGGTGACGTTTGTTTTTTCAAAGCTCGTCTCATGCTATGTTGGTGAACATTTCGTTTAACCATTGTAAAAATTATACAAAATACCGCGGTTATGTCAGATGTCATAATAACGGCAACAAAACGAAGAAGCCACTATTTTCAGATTTAGAAATTTAAATGTAAGCAATGCAAGTATTCAAGGCTTATCAGTTTACGATGCTTATTTCTGAGATCTGTTTATAAGTTGCAGCTAAAATATTTTTTCAGGCATAACTGAAGTTTTACGAGCAAGAAAATGAAGTCTTACCTGAAAATCTTTGTTGCTTCAGTGCAACGAATTATCCCATCCCTTACGAAAAAGTTCATCATGATATACCATGCCCCTATTATCAGTTGGCGTTTGGTGCTGTATACAATCATTTTCCTGGCGGCAGTTGGGTCGGCCACCCCCACTTCAGTCATTTGTTTTTCCTTTCCGAATTTGTCCTTGTAGCTCTTGGTATCTGCTTTGGATACTACCATGACTGTCAGCTTGGTAGCCAGAGGATGTTGAGTCGTAGTGGAAGAGAGATCTTTCAAACTGGTACTCATCTTGAATCTGTGAAATGCAAGGTCTGAGTGGGGTAAGTGGCAGTATTTTTTTTATTTTTATACGATATAACTGTGTTTGGGGGGGGGGGGGGCAGCTGTGGTGGTTAACTGACCAATGGTTACCCATTTTTCATTTTAGTTGTCAGTAGGTTTAATTAGATAATTGACTTATGACAGAGAGGGATACAAGCTGATGGGTGTGATAGACAATGGTTGTACTTGTTTTGTTCAACGACAGATAGTTATGTAACATA